TGGAAGATGTACTTTTTTAATATATCTTTGGGTATTGGAATTTAAAATACCATCTATTACGGCACACATTGCTATAGCCAAAACCAAAAAATAATGGTTTGTCCCAAGAATCACATTGACTTGCATGGCAATCATGGCTATACAATGTAGTCCTGTACATGCAGAATCATGTAACTGCATGTTTATAATTTTTTTTAATTCAGGGACAGTCAGTTACCTTAAGAAGAAAATACCAGCCTAGGAGGAGATAGCTAATTATAATACTTATAGTCTATTCATGTTTCAGAAACTTATACCAGCTCAAGCAACTACCCGGGTGTCAAATGCTCTCACATGCAGGCTTTAGGAACAGCAAACAAATTATATTGAGGATTGTGCAAACCCTCCTGAATTAACTTAAGATACAATAACATGCATTATTACACGACTCGGCAGTCAGAGGGCCAATAACTAAAATCAACCAATCAAAATGCTCTATTGCCATTCAATATTCTCTCAGTAATGGACCAGGCACTGTCCCACTTGCTCAGGACCGTACTGGAAGAATATCGGCCCTCGGTCTTTTTTGTACGGACCTCGCTGCACTCGGTCCGTACTGTCAAGACCTCTGGCCGATATTCTCCCAGTATGGCCCTCGCACTTGGTTAATAAGATATATTTATTACATCGCTCCCAGCACCTATGGGCAAGATGAAGCAAATCCTGTGATCTGATTGGATACCTGAGTGGGCAAGATGGGCCCATCTTGCCCACTTGGGATTGCCCACATTGATCCCATGCATGAAAAAAAAAAAGTACTACTACATTCGTTATTCTTGGACAATTTTAGCATCAATTTTTGACAACTTTTATAGTCAAAACAAAGAAAACAGAAATGACTCTTGTGAGTTTGGTGTGCTACAAGCATAGTTGGCTTTCTTTCCTGGCTCTCGAAGGAAAAAAGTCATTGGTAATTCTTATTAAAGCAATTTTTTTTTGCAATATAATAAATCCTTCATTAACCAAGCTTGTTCGGTCGGTCAAGATGGCTGGATTATCCTCATTCTTTCTTCGCATTTTTTATGGACCTCAACTTCAGTTGTCTCAGTCCATAAAAATGCAAAAAAAAAAAGTTCGGCCAATATCCAGCCATTTTGACCTCTGCTTGGTTAATAACGCACATGTATCAAGTGTACAGTAACACAGTAACTAAATATCTTGACTCACCAACTTGTTTGCTGATGCTAATGTGCACAAACATATCCCCACTGTGATCATCAGAACAGATATATACTTTGAAAAATTATACCTGAAGTTAAAAAATGTATTTTCAATCTTTAATGTCTGTGACAAGAAAATTGTTCTGAAATGCTTTGAACCTGTGCAGCTTACAAAAATTATGCAACTATAACTTCAAATCACAGAGAGAACCTTTTCTTTTAAAGCCATTAGGGAGCCTGTCTCAGTCATGATCAATCCATTTTATACAGAGCTGATAGCAGGTTATTAGTCATCTATTAACCAATTTTTTCACACACAGTTGACAGAGATGACAGCTGCATCTTACCCAAATCTAGCAAAAGCCTGACTTCACAATGCTTCAACATATTAAGGCAAGAAAAGTACTAAGTCTAGTGCAGCATTCAAGTGAAGGCTAATACTTTCTTAATTTCCTCTAAGGGGATTTTGAACAAAGAATTATCAATTAAGTCAACAAACAAATCTGTTAGTTAACTGTTGTAAGTTATCATTTTTGTAGTTTGACTTTTTATGATTTTTCTTGACATTTCTTTTCTATTTTTCATAGCTTCCTTGTAACAAAATTGTTTTTAATATTTATAGAAAGATGAAAACTTGTCAGGATGACACTTCAAATGAGATTTAACTTTAGATAGAGGTTTGGTGGTATTAATTTTCACTATTCTGTAAAGAACCTACTGGTAGTTTAACAACTTGCTTTCACTGGCATGCTTTAAAAGTATTGAATTTAAATAGTACCCTTTTTAAGTGCAGTGTACTGACTGACAGATGGCAATCACTTGCCTGACATTGCCTTAAGCTGGCAAAACATGATGATTTAAACCAGCTAGGACACCATAATCACAGTCACATTGAACTGGAAACAAACACATGACATTGTGCAGCATATCCCAGCAAACATGGTGCCTACCTTTTCTTTAGAATAATCATTCCTAAGACTAAGTTGGCAACTAAAGACCCCTACAAGACAAAAGATAAACTTTCCACTATATAAAAAGAGGTAAAAATTAAGTTTATCAAATATTTTGCTCAGATAACGAGAGATTATGTATAAATTCACCATTTTTTTTTTTAAAAAATTTCAAAATTGAATTTATATGTATTTCCCACTTGGGTCATAATCACAAACAGGATCTTACAGTGTGGACCTCGACCTCTGTTTAACTTAGTAAGAGATATCAAAATATCAAAACAAGAGTATATAAATTATCTAATATCAAAGACTTACTGATCTGAATATCATATGTAGAGGCAGAGGGACATTAAAGTTAAGTGCATAATTGTTTACAACACTGCTTGAGAAGAAAAATATCACCATCATCACATAGTTGCTGAAGAAGAAAAAAGAGAGAAAAAAAATAGAAAGAGAGAAATTTCATAAGATATAAACTTTCTTTACATCAAATGCTGTCAGCTTCACAAAACTCGGGAAATTGTGGAGGCAGGAGTGATAAACTCTGTTTGATAAAATAATACTGACTGGTATGATCATATGATATCAAGTGCAGTTTGGAATAAGTTATTCTAAAAGACCAAAAACATTGCCATAATATTGTAAAACTGTTTATTAACTCCACCTTACATACTAGAAAAATCATGTGAATACCTACTGATAATGATATGGAAAAAGTTATGAGGGAATCATGTGTAAAAATACTTCACTTAAATCCTACACATGTTGTGCATATGCTCAAAAAGATCAAACTCAGTCAAAACCACAATTCTC